TGCCTGCTCATCTGTAAAGGCATACATCCAAAAAGAAAGAACGAAAGAAAGAACATACACCAATTGAAGTGGTTACATGAAAATAAATGAATAAAAATAAATAAAACTATAAATCTTCCAAGTACAACTGTATGATCTGCTTTGATTTTAGTGTATATAATAATAATAATAATAATAATAATAATAATAATAATAATAATAATAATGTGCACACAACAATTCTGTCTGGTTCTTGAATCTGATTGGCTGATAGCCATGTGATATTCTGCAATAACAGCACTCGTACAGCCTCTTAGGCCTTGTGTATTACTCCGCCCACATAGAGTGACAGCGGATCAATAAACTCACAACAGTTTGACAAATATTGCAGCTGTTAGACAACATAATGTACTTTTGAGGCTTTTGTAGGTGAGGATGTAGTTGTTTAGATTGCAACTATGCAGTTTTTTATAAGGATAGTGTCATACTGAGCAGAAAAAAATACAGTTGCACAAAATACATACACAAAATGGCAACAGATACTGCATATTAAGTCCTTTGGGGAGGAAAACTCAGCGTTTGCATTTTGTATTTCAAACTACATCTGATCAAATAATTATTCAACAAGTAAGTGACATTCCAAGTTGATCACTCTTTTGTATGTTGTGCTGTATTTATAGGATAGTAATCTGCTAGTGTTTGCTTTGCTTTGGCTTTTTGTTGGGTTAATTATTGTGATCTCCTGATTGCAACAGAGAAATACTGGGAAATCTCTGTAGACTGATGGCATTTCATGCCGTTTCACCTTATAATCTTAAAATGTGAGCAAAAGCACCTGTTTTTTCATCACTTTAGATATTACGCTAGAGAATTATTCAAATACTAGCTCTAAAGTGACGTGTCTTTTAAGCAATGTTTTCGGCTGTTCTGACAGTCAGCTGCAGATGTGAGAGAATGGGTGAAGAAAGTAGTTCCTCATACAGAAGGTTTTTTTGAGACTCTCCATGTTCGACTTTCTTTTTCATACGCACAATTATGCAGTCAAACTGTTGTATAAACGCATTATGACAATTGTATGGCTTTATATCGTCACTGGTGGGACACTAAGACACTCGGCCTGTGGCCTCGACCCAAAGCAAGCCTCCCACCAGTGCTGATATACAGCCATATCATACTGCTACTCGTATGATATTGCTCATATATATATATATATATATATATATATATATATATATATATATATATATATATATATATATATATATATGTATATGGATATAATATAATATAATATATATATATATAT